AATTTAACATTTATACAAAAATTATTGAATTATATTAAGTCTTAGTGCAAGTTTTCAAATAATTTATTACAAATATTCTTAGTGGTTGCTTCATTCTTATCCACAGTACCGTGAAAAACAATCAGTACATAGGAAATTTATTTCAATCATATGGGTGAAATATTAACATTTTGTCAATCTGCTGTTAATTTTATTGCTCTCTTCACGTATGTAGTATCTGTTAAATGAAGAAAATAAGATTTTCATACAGATATTTTCTCCCAGGTGGAAATGCTACCGCATTTCGTTCTGAAACAACTCTGTACAATCACATAATCAGAATGAATTCTTGTAAAACTCTGAATAAACTAGACACCTGTTTGAAGCTTGGCAACAGATTGGTAAGCAACCTTAGCACCTGGAAGATACTTTTCAAAGGAATAACATAGAAACCGGCATATCTCAACTTTATTTATGTTAAGTTGTCCTTTTTCCCTTTACTTGGTGCAATGAAATATGTGTTATGAAAATGCTTTATTAAACAAGTCCTACTTTTATGGATAAACACATGCTTATGTAGAAACCAGACACTACACGATACTATGTGGATTAAAATAAAGATGTTTGCTACTTATATGCTACTGCAAAGCATACTGGAAGAACTGAGAAGGACTACCAATGCACAGAGTAGTTAAAAAATATGGCTATGTTCCCATGTTCAGAAGTATTAGCCACTAATCTCTGCTGACACTGTGATACAAAACCACATTACAGTATTGTCTAGTTGAGAAATTGCTCTCCAAATATATAGTAGGACTTTATCTTGCCCTCTTCTTCCCTTTAAAGGTGAAAAAAAGGAATTATGGAACAAATTATTCCCCTTTTCTGGAAGTTGCCTAATACAGACTCAGGATCAGGTACACTGAATTCAATCAGTTTCAGGGAAAAAACTGGAATAAAATTACGTATAACAACAAACCCCCTCATCACCCTGATGCAGGGTAAAAAGCAAAATGGTTAATGGGACTTTCTCCAGGACTGAGTAATAATCAGTTTTATCCTGAGGTTTTCCCATAGATATTGTGCATCAAGAAGATAAGAATCATGCCTTTTGGAGTAAGATCCTGCAGGTAATCAAAGCTCTCGACAGCAATGTTACATTTACTATTTTTGTCCTGCATTATCACATCAATTGCTCACTTTCTTGCATATTTCAGCTGTTCAGATAACAGAATGTGTATTTTACTAATACTATTTGATATAAAAAACCCTTAGTAATTAGCAATCACATAATGCATTTGGCCACTAGACAGCATGAACCTGAAAAAATAATTCCTACAGATGTACCGACATCCGATGATAAATTTAAGACTAGGCAAACTAGATTTAGCTCCTGTTTTAAAAGTACTTACTACAGGTAAGAGGACACATTTTTCTTTAAAGTAGGTATCAATATCTTGGTCATGCTGAGAGGTAGCATCATTTATACATATCTGCATGTATACACACTATCATATGCATATTCAATATGCTTTGAAATATTTTTATTTATGTAAATTTAATTTGTATATTTAACCAAAACCCCAAAACAGACATCTGTGGGCAGATTTTTGGCAGGAAATAATTAGCTTCCAGGGTAACACATTAGAAATAAACACACATATAGCTAGCAAAGGTGAAGCTATCTTATTTAATAGCTTGCCTTGAGTTGCATTTAAACCTACTGTCTGCCATGAAGAAACTCAATACATCATCAAACATGCCACTGCATTATCAAAAATGGCCAACTAGATGAAGCCACAATTGAAAAATAACTACTTTTATTATTCTTTCTATATAAAATTCTTTTCATTAATGCTCAGCAACAGGCATTTGGCAGCTGAACTTTTTTTTAAGCAGCAGTTAACAATGCAATTCACAAAACAAAGATAAGCTCAATGGTTTCCAGGAAACTGAAAGATGAAAGAATGCAGAGAGAGTCAGACGATTTCAAATGAAGAACAAGTGAACTAAGGTCAAACTAAAACCTAAAAGAAATTCAGCAAGAAACCAGATACATTTCAGTTAGATTGAAATTTCATAATGTATTTCAACAATGCATACAATACATTCTTTGGTATATTAATTCACTGGGGACAATTTTTTTTCAAAATAAAGGAGGAACTCAGATTCCAAAGCCCTTAGTTTCATTAATTCAAGCAGAATATTTAGCAGACTTTCTGGGTTTATATCACATGTAAAGTAGGTTAAGGTTTTATCTTCCAGCTTTGTTTTGTGAGTTCACCCCCAGACTTAGTCTTACAGCATACATGAGGTAAACTGTAGTGAAAGTATCCATAAATGTTATAATTTCAGAAGCCCACACCTACTAAACAGCCTCCTTCAGAAATATGATGAATGTATTCCTCCCCCTTGAAGAGAAGATCAGAGTAAAACTACTATTACATGAATAAATTTGAATAATTCATTTTGCAGTAGCGAAGAAACATAGCATTCTACTGTACACACAAAAAAATGCTAATAAAGTTACCTTTATACCTACAATGCAAGTTATTCCCCAACACAGAGCTAAATTCTGCTTAGTTAAACTCTCCACAATTTCCACATAGGAAGCAAAACCAAAAACAAATATTTTGTCTGAGGGATTTTTTAAAGCATACTTAATGTAAGTTCTCTCTCAGACATTAAATTTGTAAAATACTGTGTTTTACAACTATCAAGCCCAGTATAACCATGCATTCGGAAACAGAATTCCAAACTGCTGGCAAACCACCTTCTCTACTCAGAGCAGAGAATTTATTTATAATTTTACACAGCAAATTATAGTGGTTGAGGAAAGAGTAAAGGAGAAATTGAAATGCAATGTGAATTTGAAAAACATGGATTTTAAATAGACAATTTTAAAGAAAGATAGAAGAATAACAATGTTAAAAGCTGCACACCTGGACTCTTGCCAAAAGAGTCAATCTCTCACAACCTGTATTTTATAACGCAGGAATGACAACTTTTTTTACCAGTCAAAATATCCCCTAGAACCATGCCTACGCATTCCTTCTCTGACATACAGTGAAGAGTGCCACCTATTGAATAAAAAACAGTATTTCCAGAAATCATTAAATAATTCTGGAAACATGCCATCTGTGTACTCCCTTCATCAAGCTAAGCATTCAGTTTAGCTTCTTATCATGCAATTTCCCGGCAGAGAGCAATTTTGCCAAAATATAACTTTGGTATACAAACAAGGTGCCCCATCAACACTGCATAAGTTATCTGATTTAAGAAAAAAATTATTCAATTATGTGTGCTGCATTTAATAAAAAAAGAAAAGCAGTCTCTTCTAAGGCTGTTCTTTGTTCACACAAAAAAGTGTACATTTTTAATATATTTTACTGTACTGTATTAGAAGGAAAAAACTACTTTCTTTCAGACTTGAACACTTTATTTGTACTGACTACCAAAGCACCTTGCAAATGACCTAAAACAAATATTTCATATCCATATACCGTGCTCTCAGTAATACTACAGAGCAGCAACTGCTAAGAAGACACAGTGTGCCCCCCTGAAGAAGCCTTACCAGGTGCTGCATAGCACACAGCAAGGCTAGTCTGGCTATGAGTTACACATCGGTACAGGTAACATTCTATATTTATAAACATTGTAAATCAGCATTACAGTCTATCAATTTAGAGCTTTAAATACCCACAATCTAGTCAAGGAAAAATGTGTGGTATGTTGCAAGAGTCTGCTGTAATATGATACCAAACAAAACTGCTATAACCCAACCAAGACTTGGAACTGACCCATTTATATACAAAACATTTGAATGAGTCAGCAGCCCACTGCATTTCCCAGGCCTGCTGCAGACTATCATACAATTCCCAGACGCACTTCCTCGGATTGTGCTTGCCTCATGAACAAGGTCAGTAGTGACAAAAAGTGATATAAAGGTCAATGGTTAGGAAAATATGACAATACACAGACTTATTTTATCTGTTTACCCATTAACCTATTCAATATACTGAAGTTCACAGAATTCCTCTATTTACTTGTCTCCCGTCTTTTAACTGTTTAATATAATAGAGCAGTGTATTAAAACAAAGTTCTACTGTTGTTTTGGTCTGTGAACAGATAAGAATTAAATATGCTGCCTTACAGTAGTCATACACAGACAAGTGAACAGCCTCTAAAACAATCACTGTTTCCTTTTCTGAAGTCTTTGTTCCCATACTCCATATATACTCCAGCACTGCCAGAATAAACTTTGCTTATGTAGAGTGGCTGAAGTTTTTGCAACTAGAGCAACAGTGCTATCGGTAACTGAGATTATACTACTGCAGTCATGCTGCTACCTGAATCACAAAGCTTTTGATCTGCACTGGGGATCCCTTTCTGAGGGTGATAAAAGATAACTGGAACAGTACTTGTCCTAACTCTGATTATTGCAGAGAGTAAACCTACTGCTGAATAAAGACCTCCACAAGCCAAAGTTAGGGTAGATGGATTTTTGATCTGATGCAACAAACTCATATATTTATGTTTTTATGACTACATGAAAAACACTAAAATCAGCTACAAACAAGAAACAAATTTCTACAATGCACAACCATTAAAAAATACTATTTTTACTTCAATGTAATGATAATAAAGAAAGATTACCACAATAACTTAGTGTATACAACATTTCCATCAGACTTGGTCCTTTAAAGAACACCGAAGTATATGAGACATTAAAAAATCCTTCTAGGATGTTTATGCTATCCACCTCAGGGGAGGAAGAGAGGAGAATAGTATCTTTCACTTTGAAAGACACTACGTTAATGGTAAGCACGCATTACAACTAAAAAATGTATTTCCCAGATTAAGAAAAATTATTTGAAACTTGCTTGCATGTTTCTTTGGGGATTCCTCCAGAAATTTACATAAGGTTGCAAAATTTGACTTTATTTTAAGACAGATGGAATGATAAACTCCAAAGTTTTCAGACTGAGGGAAGAAAAATCCAACAAAAATAGGACACTTACAAGATTTCTCTCTAGAGATTCCAGTTTATGATCTATTTCTTTCAGACGATTCTGTTGATCACGTTTTTCCTTATTGTCTCGCAGAACCTTTTCACCTGGAACTGCTTCTAGGCTTCTGTTGGCATAAACCAGAGACTCCTGACAAAAGAAAGAACAGATAGAAGTTAAACACATGACTTTATACTGCTTCATAGCCAGATGGGTGTTCTTTTGATTTCTACTACCAAACACAGAAATGTGTCAATGTCAAATTCTGCATATGCATAATTTTCATTATGCACGTTTTCAAATACAATAGCTAAATATCAGGCTGGACATATTTCAGTAAAAGAATTCTTCCCCTTTGCATTTTAAGAGGAATTTCTTAGTCTCCAGCACTAGTACTTTGATGCTTAATTTCTACCACAACAATAAAAATGCACTGAGACTAGGGGAGACAGAATGACTGATTCAAAGCTTGATCTTATTAACCATACTGGGATCAGAATTAAGCCAGAAAGGAAAGGAAGAATTGAGCTGAAATGATGATAGCTTTTGTTTACTAGATATCATGGTAAATGAGAAATAATCCTCTCTCTGTAAGTTGTAGTTAGTTGCCCAACCATTATTAAATATTCAGATTACATAGTCTCACATCCTTCAGTAGTTTTGAATTGGACCCTGAAGTCCCAAATACATTCAAGGTTTGATATTACTTGTAACTCAGTTCATTAAGATCGACAAGTATTGGCAAAACTGCAGTTACGTTGTGATTGGAAAAAAACAGAGCTTTCTCTTGCAAACCAAAGATTCTGTAGAAGAATTCAAGGGATACAAATAACAGCAGAGGGGAAAAAAACAAGCAAAATACCCTCCACCCAACTTGATAGTCAATTCAAACCAAAGAACAATCAGCAGCCATATAATAAAAACATACTCTATTTGTTCTTATTTTCAGAAGCAGCTCAAGGAATCTTAATAGACACACACAAGGAAAATAATTCCAAGTAGCATGTCTAATTGGAAAGAAAAACAACCTTCGCAATTCAACATTCAACAAAAAATTTCTCAACTACAATATACAAAAGACTATATCTGTAAACAACTTCTAAACATCTAGCAAATCTATGAATTCTGACATTTAAATCAAACTACTAGCTGCTTGAAAATAAACTTAACACAGTACAAATCTTACTTACAATCAGCAATAGTTGGCAGTACTCCAATGACAGTAAATTTTCCCATAACAGACAGTCACATTTTCTGTTTCGTTCTGTATTGCTTTCATAATTATTCCTAATAATCTATTTGAATATTTGACTACTATGGAACATTAACCTGCTGTTTTCACAGAAATAGTTGTCACAGTTTCATTTCTCTCATCCCTGAATAGTAACTGATCAGAGTTCACACAATATAAGTAAAGTTAAGGCTTTTCTCACTTAGTAATATTTTTGTATTTTTCTCAAGATAGAATAAATGCAGAAAGTATTATATCAAGGAAAACATTTTATTGTCTATGTTTCAAATACTTCAAATTTTTCAATACTTCATTATTTTATGTTTCAATTATATAGCACATGTACATAGTGAAAGTCCATTTGAGATTACCTCATATGATTTCTAGATCTGTAGATAATAAGTGTTAAATATGTTTACACAAGATAAAATACAAGTACTTAGCAACAGACAAAGCTGTAACAAACATAATGCAAGAGTATTTGAAATGTCTAAAATTATTCATTGCATTCCCTTTTCTCTAAAATTCTATAAATAAATAATAACAAAATGCCTCTTAATGAAATATATTAGTGTCATACAGTCTTCCTGAGACATAAAACTGGCTGATCAGCTTATCAACCTGCTTCTAACCATGCCCTGAAACAGATATACCCATGAAACTCATTTGCTTTGGTGGAGGCAAAGAGCATAGGCTATCAGAGTTCAGTAATTGAAAAATTAGTGTATATTCTAAAGTTTTTAATAATTTTGAGTACTTATTTAGTTTTAAACTGTTAACTATAGTCTACTTCCATAACTGAAAAAGAGAATACTTTTTGGATAAAAAATCCCAAACATGTATGAAAGAACTCCTCAAGGCAATACAATGTTGATTACCTTATCTTTTAAGACAATCAAGCAAACAGAAATTAATGTTTCTTTACAATTAATGCCATTTATTAAAGATTTCAGAGTCACAGCACAGTTCCTATATCCTGTCAAAGTATCCATCAGTGTCAGAAAGCAGATCTCTCACTGAGGCAGTGGTGATTAAGTGTTTCCATTTTGAAAGTTGTATCTAGTGCAATTCTTGGAAGAAAAGAACATGTAGCTTTATAATATGCAACTCTAAGCTAATTCTGTTTTAATTACTTCTAAAATTCGAAATGAAAATCCCTTTTATATGCTACAAAACAAAGTTGAAGGGCATCTGCTTTTCACGAATGAAAGGTATCGTAAGGAATTAACCACCTCTTTTTGGTTTTTAGGTTTAATATTATTCAAAAAAGATAATACTTTACTGTTCAATCAGCATACACCTAAATGCCACTTTCTATTCAAATACTTCTGAGCTATTACCTGAAAGAAAGCAACAACAACCACTTGAACAAACATTCCCAAACAGAGAGTTCATTATCACAGGCAGTTGCATTAACTTCAAGCTGATGTCTCGTAACACTGAACACAAGATCAGGCAATCATTGGCAAGCTCAGGTCCATGAAACTGAAGTTACTGGGTAACAACTGCATTTGCATAAGCCACTACCAACTAGAGGGAGGTGCTCTTTCACATATTAAATCCCAGTTGGTAAATGATCAACATCAAAATGTTACTCCTCTAGAACTGAGCTACAGAAGATACCACTAGAGGTAAAACAAAGCCTCATGTTCAGAAATAAGTCAATACAAAAATTACATTAAAGTGAGCTTAGAAAAAGAGGGGAAAAAAAAACCCCACAGGTATTTTAGCCTTTTAAATAAATGTTTCTCATACACTGGTAACTATCTCTGATATACCAGTTCTGGCCATAGAATTACTACAGAAGTAAACAAGCTTTGTGCAAAATAAGAATTATGTTTTTTTATTTTATGCCCCATTATAGTAGAGGCAATACTACTGGGGCATGGGATAAACTGGAGCCTTCTAAGCACAAAATTCAAACAATCACTTCCCAAGGCTGAGACCTTGATTCTTAATCTTCATGGGTTCTTAATATTGTTGGCAAGGGAAAAAGACGAAGGCCACTAAAAACAAGGGGCATACGATTCCAATCTCTTTTCTACAGTCATTGCTTTATCTTTCTGATCACAAGTGAAGAAGCAGTTTTGGAATCCTGAGATAAGAAGAAACCTAATTCTTATTCCCAAAGATGAACTATCATTTGTTACTATGTTGAAAAAAACCACTGGGACCCTCATGCAGCTAAAAATGTCTGTTACCAACTCCTGAACATAAAAATTTTTAAAAGTGTGGAATCAAAAATGCTAAAAACAAGACAGTCCTTGAATTACATACCACTCAAAATAGCAACAAATTATTTTTCCATAGCCAAAATTTTTCACTTCATTCCTTAACACATATACTGGGAGAACAAACAGAAGATACTAAAGAAAAATGCAAAAGATACAAATACAGACAGACATATGCTGTATTGATCTCAACACACACTTCAAACAAAAAATCTGCAGCATAAGCTCTGTTCTGTAACCTACCTGATAAATCTGGTTTGGAGGTTTTGAGAAAGAGCTGGAAATTGCAGAAAAATCCCCATCAGATAGTAGTGCTTGAAGCTTAATATCTATTTCATTTAGGAGATGAAATTCCGTGGGTTCAGGTGTGTACCCTTCTCCTGGTGCTAGCCAGACAGATACATTCTCCTATTGAAAAGTACAGAAAATACTTAAACCTCATTCCCAAAGGAAAAAGACCTTAAAGGTAGTTACACATCAAGTGTATTTATTTTTCAAATGAGCATACTTAAGAGTAAAATGTACATTTTCACCCATCTCACTATATAGCTGAAATCTCCCAAATATTCATGTACCTAGCACACTCAAAAGCAGATATGGACAGAACAAGTATAGGCATACATTTTTCATTTTAAAATATAACCAAGCAGCAAGTTAATATATATATAATTTTATTTTTAGAAAGCACATACATCTACATGCGTTGTTAAAATCTAATAGCAAAAAATGTGCTGTGCTAACCTAAACAGACTTTTGCTACTATTATACTTATTTCTATCAAAGTCCAAAGCCTGTTTCCTCAACAGACTAGCTGCTCAGAAGCCCTAAAATAAAATTGCTTAAAGCCAGATGCTTTGCCTTCATGCCAGCTGGCCAAAAAACAATCAGACAGCTCCCAGGTTCCCCCTCCATTCTTCTCAAGGTTATACAACTACCTTGACCAAGTTCTTGTACAGCCAAAAGAAGCCCTTTGGACAGCCAATCCCTTTATCTTAACCATACATCTTACTTAATAGCCTCTTAGCCAAGTTAGTCAAACCTTAAAAACAGTTTCATGCCATGCCATGCCAACCACAGTTCCCTTCCACAGATGCAAACTCTTCCCCTGTTGTGGTTTATATATTTGTTCAACATGGCAGACTCAGCTCCCTTTTGAAGGAATAATTTCTTGACATTTCCTAACTTGCACAAACATCTTGCTGTTCAGTGCTGCACAGTAAGCATCACTTTCTGATACCACTGACGTAAAAATCAATTTAGAAGTGTTTGCAAGATATTGCAGAGGATAGAGATGAAGAGGAAAGTGTCTGGCAGATTTAAGACCCACCAGTCCTAAAAGAGCAAACATAAAGGACATGTTATAAGCTCACATTTTCAATGCTAATATTGAAGTGGAAAAGCACAGCCCTCAGAATCTGCACTAGGAGTTTCCTCAACATCACCCTAAATCACTTCTGTTATGTCAAGCATCTCAGCACTCCTTGCTTGCATGCTTATTATTTTACAAAGTACAAGAAACAGCACAGAGAGCTGACCACATAACTGAAACAGCAAGGTATTTTTTGGTTTTAAAAAAGACAAATGAAAGTCCACAGGCATAATGAGATGTTCTTATCTACACCAAACACGTCTTCTCGAACAACCCCAATAAACTTGCATCTCAAAGTCTGGTGGCAAATATGTAGCATCTATTCTGCTACATATTCAAACACACCTTCACAGCAGCACTTTAGAAATCCAAATAAACTTGAACATAAAACACTACTACTCTCTATTGTCCTCTGAAGGAAGTGGAAGTAACAGACCCCTGTGCAAGTCAAAGAAGGAAATACAATCAGCAGCTATGTCTAATAGGACAACTACTTTCCATCTGATAAAGGAGTCAAAAAGAGAGAAAGCCTGACCAAAACTAGGCTTGGAATGGAACTGCAGAGACTGATGCTATGGCAGAAACTACCCAGAGTCAAATTTCAGAGGGAGGGTATGAGATGTAACATGACACTTGCAGCACATCACCAAAGGAGACACAGCATCCATAGGAAATCAAAGGAACTGCTCTGAGGTCAGTAGCTGCCATCCTTCTAGAGGCCCAGAAAGACTGGGAGAGGCAGAAAGCAGAGAGTTCTTTTTCCTGATTGTGATTTACATGACTTTTTCCTCTTGATAGCAGTAACACCTGAATAACAAATATGAATATATACTCCTACTACAGACAGTTGCATAATGTGAGTGAGCTTGGCCCACTTAACCCAAGCAAATGAGCTCATACTCACAGATAGTTGCAGGTTCTCCACAGCAACTTGGCACTCCTGCCTCAACACTCAGGGAAGGAAGTATGCACAACCACCATTCAATGGGCATGACAGTAGCAGATTACATCTCTGTCCTCACCACAATGAAACAGCAGATAAGACCGCAGAAGAGCAGGGATGTGGGGAAGGACATGAGTGTATTACTGGTTTCCTTTCTTTTTCCTACCCAGAATAGGGCAAGCACCTTGCCCTAAGACTCTAACATCTGTTTTGCAAAGAATTCATGTCCACTATTCTGTTACAGCTTCCAGATTAGTCCTTTGGCCATTCAAGCAGTTGCATCCATACAAGAGGAGGAAATATCAGCTTCCAACTTCAATACCATTGCTATGAGGTCATTTGTGGTTCATTCCCATTACCCTAAAGCACACTAGTTTCAAAAAGAAAAAAGCATACTCCAAACACTTGTCATAAATTGCCTCCATAATAAATTAAAGAAAAAAATAAAAAAAATAGTCAAGAGAGAGTCATCCTTTTTGTGAAACAAAATCAGTTCTAATGCTTTCTCATATAAGTATGATGAGACACAACCAGTAAGCCTGACCGGACCCAACCTGATTCTAAAAGAGCCACTCACAAATGTCTTAGATGCTTCCCAGCTTTCTGGAAACATCTGTTCAGGTGGGACAGTGGTCATCAAAACATAACTATCCACCACGGTTCTACATTTGTGTCACATTAACCACCCCCTAATCAGAGAATGAAGATCACAGCGCAAATACACAGAAATTACTCTACAGGAGTCGATTAAGATGCAACTGGACTCATTAGCTACAGCTCAGTGTCTATATCCCATGCTCCAAATATCCAAATTATACCAGTAGTCACTTTACTTTAGGGTGAAATGGACTCACACATTCTCTTTTGTATTTTTAAGATGGTTTTGCTTGGAAAATAAGCTTCTGTCTTGTCAATGTTTCCTGTGTGTTAACTCAGAAGAATATTTTTATAACAGCACAGTCAGTGCTGTTAGTGTCAGTGCTTACTGTGGAACATCTGAAACAAATTATACCCCTGCACCTTCAGCTTTGACAATTAGATCAGCATGAATATGTACTTGTAAAATATTTTAAAAACTCATAAAACACCTTTTCAAAAAGTGAGAAGTGCTGTTCGGATATCTGACATATTTAGTAATATGAGTCCAGTGAAGTTATCTAATCCACATTACACTATACAGAAGAATTCATACAGCATAGCCAGATCTGCCTTGACTGAGAGCCTCCAAAACATTACTTTAGCTTGTGAGATTGCACCAGCTTTTTTAAAGTCAGAATAAAATAAGATGAAAAAGGCCATCAGTTGGACAATTACCTGGGCCAGCTTGAAGCTGTCTAGATTACTCACTAGCTGATAATTTCCTCATGATCTTTGTTACAAAGCAGCTATAGGAAATGCCTCACCCATAATAAAACTGAAATGTGGGAGAGGAAGAATCACCAGACTAGACAGGTTTAAGTAACTATTATCCTTTCTTTTATTCCATTTTGATAGTAGAATTAGGAGCTTTTTTCTTTGAAAAGATGATCTAGTATAGACTAGAGTAAGTCACAAATTACCATTCTTGTCCATGGCATAAGGAACATAGAGCAACAACACACATGTCCTGTGAGGCAATCTACTTCATAGCAGATATTAATAGTAAAATATCTATAGATACATGCCAACATGATAGTGACATGTGCCAAATACAAAATGTGGGTAAAGGTTACACTTTCCCTTGCCTTGATGCCTCGATGCTCTGAGAATTGGTGCAAAAAAAGGTACACATTAGTCAGAATTTGCATTAGCTGTTCTGCATAAATGTCTCTGAATTTTGTGAAGGACATCAGCTTAAAGAAAAGGAAAACCTAACAACTACGCATTTTGAGAAAATACTTTCGCAATTAGTAAAATAAATTATACTAAAAAGGTCACTATTCCCTAGGTCAGAAAACTATGTTTACTAACATAAGGCTGTTTAAAACATCTTAGGATCTTTAAATGCTGACATTTATCAAATGGAGAACCATCTCCTCAAATTGAAACATGTCCTTGATCAGGAAAGAACAGAAGAGACAGCATCGTTAATCAAACACTGACCTTTCCAACAAGAGGAGAAAAACAAAAACAAATCCCCCACAATCCTCTCCCTCCAGTTTCTTCCTATTCAAAGTCAGGATGCAGTAGTTTCAGCTGAACATTTTGTCACCTTACATGGATTTGCAATGCCAGGCCTGTTGCAAGCAGATCCAATAGAATACCTTCAATCTTTTCATAAATGCGCAGATAAAAGATTAAATAATGATCCAGTAAGCTTTAATTTTGTTCTTCTAATATGCAACAAATTAAAAGTAAAATAAGAATCAACTCTCCTAACCACAGATCAACATTAGACCAAAGAACTTCCATTGCATTTTTTTAATGCTAAACTATGTCAGCTAAGTCAAATACCTCTGTGCAACATTATTAATTGATGAGTATTTTACACAGATAAAAAATTCAATCTGCAAGCTCAGTGTTCATGTTCAAAAAAATTATATTAGCATCTTATGTAAAGCAAGGGAACAAATGTCGGGTAAACAGGAAGACTGCTGCAATTTTACAGAACTTGAAGATTTTCATCTGATGAACACAAGCGCTGAGTGTGGCTGATAGTTTTAAACCTCTGTACATGAACAATCAACAATCAGTAAAGGATACATTATCTGTGTTGCTACTTTATCTTACTGTGAAAGAACAATTACTGTTAAAATACTGCACATTTATATCTTAATCATTTGTCCATCAGGTTTTCCTGACTGATACGGACTCCTTCACTTATATTTGCCCCACAAAGCTCTGAAAATGCCAAAACACAGTGTGTACTTACTAGTTTCCCCAGAGCAAAAAGACCCAATGACTGTCAACCTAGAAGTCACACTGAAGTTGGGTAAATTACAGATCTGTTTAATGCCACAAACCATGGGTAGGCTAGTCCTCTATTTCCATAACCAGTTTGGATTCAGATGGAAAAAACAATAAGCTCATCTCCTTACCCCATATCCTGAAATAGTAATTTATACAGATGTATTTTAGACATGTTTTAAAAAAGAGTAATGAATTGGATGTCTTCACAACCTTATTAGAATATAAATAGAACTAAAATATGGGAAGAAACAATTAAAAAATAATACTATTGCATTTGCTTTTGTTTCTCTCACACCTAAGTTGTTACTTAACCTACTGAAAAATAATTTACTCCAGATCATTTTCAGCTGTATAAATTAAACAGAAAGTGGACCTTGGATATATTGTCCACTTTGTATACTTTTAAGACAGAGTTGGAAGCCACAGAAAGATGTCATGTTATCTTTCTAAATGGACATGTAAGCTTCATCAATGCATACTTCCTCAATTGCTGCATTTTTAAGGTCATGTCCTTAAAAAACTCTCGTTGGGAGTTTTCTGAAAATAGCTGCTGGCCCTTCTGCCTGAGACTACAGCACCAGCCATTCAGATTGATACTCTGCAACTTCACAGTTTATGCAGAATAAATAGGTCATCTACTCCAAGTGTAGTTCTAAGGCTCCTTCTACCTATGCCTAACTTTTCTTTTAAGTTCTGCAGTTAGTAGAATTAACAAAGAAACCAATGCAAATTCATTCCTGGAGACAAATCCAAAAGGATTTGTCCAGCTTTTCTCTCTTATCTCAGTAGGGTATTCCATGGTAGGACTAAGATCAGTTTTAGATTTACTGTAAAAATAAGCTAAATACAACAGGACAGATTAAAGTTTTCATACCTCAAGACCTTGCAATTCAGTTCCATCCTCTGTATCTTTCAATAGTTCAATTAGCCTTTTCCTTTCTCCCTCAAGCATAACAAACTGGTTTTCTGAATCCTTTGCTAGCTATAATATTTACAAAAACAAAAAAATAAACACACTTTAGAACTCCATTAGCTCAAACACCATCAAAACAAAGTTTTTAAACTCTGTGAAATTAACATCCAAAACTTGCTTATTGCCATAATACAAAGTATCACTGACAGAAAAATATAGCAGCCTACATATAATAAATTTATAACCTTTTAATAGTCTGTGACATAGTAGAGAGGCAAATATTTTTCACTGGATGAGGAATCATTATACATAGTAGGCCTTCAAAGGAAAAAAAGCACAAAAATTGGGGGATGTATTTTCTGACAAAAAGAGGTCCCATGCACACTATACACAGAATCATAGAATCAGTTGGGTTGGAAGGGACCTCCGAGATCATCAAGTCCAACCCTTGATCCAACACACCATGGCACTAAGTGCCACATCCAGTCTCTTCTTAAAAACCTCCAGGGATGGAGAATCCACTACTTCCCTGGGCAGCCCACTCCAATGCCTGATTACCCTCTCTGTAAAGAATTTCTTTCTAATATCCAACCTAAACCTTCCCTGGCACAACTTGAGACGGTGCCCTCTTGTCTTGCTGATAGTTGCCTGGGAGAGGAGACCAACCCCCACCTGGCTACAGCCTCCCTTCAGGTAGTTGTAGAGAGTGATGAGGTCTCCCCTGAGCCTCCTCTTCTCCAGGCTGAACAGCCCCAGCTCCCTCAGCCTCTCCTTATAGGACTTGTGCTCCAGTCCCTTCACCAGTCT